AGGAGACTCGCTTGAGCCCAGGAGTTGGAGGTTGCTGTGAGCGTGATGCCATGGCACTCTACCCAGGGGGATAGCTTGAGGCTCCGTCTCAAAAAATAAATAAATAAATAAATAAAATAAAATAAAATAAAATCTACCCATGTAAGAGCATCCTTAAAGGTCCACGGCGGGAGAAAGCCTGTCCCTTGGTGAGGCACTTGTTGACTGCCATGCTCTGATATGCGGGGATGAAATACTTAGCTCGAGAGTGAGCTGTGGCTCCTGAACAGCTCTAACTGCCAGTGTTGGGGATGGAAACGAAGGGGGCTAAGAAAATGAGAAACTAAAGAGTTATACATGGACATGAGTAGGTGTGCCGCACATCCTATACTGAAACAAAGAAAGCAAGTCTGTATACATTTCAGAGAATTTGCTACAGCTAGTATACTTTTTTCCCCTTCTGGGTGGGATGCATCTGTTATGGTACCATTTGCAGTGCAGGGAGGATGCAGGTCTTGAGACGTAGTCTTTGAAAACGTCGGGTGCACTAAATAGGTTATTAACATAGTAGTTTAGAACATACACTTTCTTTTTGATGGTGCTGGTACCACACACTGCTCGTGTGTACTTAAGCACTCGTCTGTGGAAGGATACACAAGTAAAAACTCCACTCAGGGACTTAGTGAAAGTCATTTGATTATTGTAGCACATGACATGAAAGGGCAAAGAGAATTTTGCTTGCCTGGTTCTCTGACACCAGAGAGGTTGACATTTCTAAAAACTTCATATTAGGGCAGTGCCCATAACTCAGTGGGTAGGGCACTGGCCACATACACCAAGGCTGGCGGATTCAAACCTAGTCCGGGTCGGCTAAACAACAATGACAACTGCAACAAGAAAAAATATAGCTGGGCATTGTGGCAAGTGCCTGTAGTCCCAGCTGCTTGGGAGGCTGAGGCAAGAGAATCACTTGAACCCAAGACTTTGAGGTTGCTATGAGCTGTGGTGTCACGGCATTCTACCCAGGGCGACAGCTTGAGACTCTGTCTCAAAAAAAAAAAAAATCATATTAGATCCTACTGGTTTATTGCCTAGTGATTTTATTTCTACTATGGTTACTTGTAGGACTTACATGCAGCAGGCCACACTAACATACCACAGTTGACTCAGGATGCTTTGAATTTTCAAGAAGAAAACATTGGTATAAATATTTAAGAAATCATAGAGTTAGTTCGTATTTTGGCCTAAGGGTACTACTCCACATTTAATATGCTAATGATGTTAATATATGATGTATATCCATGTGTGAAGAAAAGAGAAGGAAAATAAAGCCTTTTTACCATTTTTTTTCTTTCTTTTTTGAGACAGAGTCACCCTCGGTAGAGTACTGTGGTGTCTTAGTTCACAGCAACCTCAAACTCTTGGGCTCTAGTGACTCTCTCGCCTCAGGCTCCCAAGTAGCTGGGATTACAGATGCCCACCACAACACCCGCCTATTTTTAAGGTTTCACTCTTACTCAGGCTGGTCTCAAACTCCTGAGCTCAGGCAATCCACCCACCTCAGCCTCCCAGAGTGCTAGGATTGAAGGCATAAGTCACTGCATCCAGCCCTATCATTTTCAAGATAGTTATCAGGATTTCCCAAGATTAGTTTTATAAAAATCACAAGGATAAGGAAAAAACGCAAAACTTAAGACCTTTAACCAAGGGAGGCACCTGTGGTTCAAGGAGTAGGGTGCTGGCCCCATATACTGGGGGTAGCGGGCTCAAGCCCAGCCCCAGCCAAAACTGCAAATAAATAACTAAAGACATTTAACCAGATACATTGGGATATAAATATACAAGCTCATATTCAAATGGAAGTTCAGAAGAGATTTGTTATGAAGTAAAACTTAATCCCATTTCATCTCTTTACTCTGACTTGAACTCTGATGGTGCTTTTAAAAAAAATCCCCTCCTGTGTGACACAGTCCCATCTCTGCCTCATGTGAAGTCTCCAGTTGTACAAGGCTTATTTTGGTGTCTTGAGGATGTGGCAATTCCCATGAGGCTTCGTAATGAATCTGTACACAGAAGGCACCGAATTATAATGTTATATGGAAACGTTAAAAATAGGTATGTTGTTCTGGTCCTATGGTTTACATTTTTTTGAGTACATAGTGATAAATGAGTATGGTAAAAAAAAAAACTCAAATGGCATACCAGTAGTTATCAGTGAAAGATTTATCCCTCAAAAATCCCTTTTTAAAACCATATTTTCTTTTCACGGCAGAAGCAACTACTGCTACTAGCATAGCGATATTCTACATATTACTATTACAAGTGTACTTTGTGTAAGGTCATCATTTTAAATAAGGCTTTGATTGAATTCTGTTATAGGAGAGACAGAATGGAAGAAAGGAAGACTTGGATTTTTTAAAAAGTGTTAAGAATTATCAAAAATATTGCAAAGAAGCCATACGGTAAGGCCATGTTGGGATAGCACGTTCCAGTGAAGACACATTCATAGGGCTGAGAATTGAACTGGGAAATCCATAACTGCATCTTTATTTGTGCAATCCCGTACTGAAAGGGTGTGAACTTGATCGTCACTTTCATCTTCCCGTTAGCCGGAATTATTCCTGAGAGGAATGAAATGAGAACATGTGATACTCTCTCTTCCTGCCAAGAAAGAGAGAAAGAGGCTCTCTCGCTCTCTTTTTCTATCTCTCTCTCTCACACACACAGTTGACCTTTGAACAACTCAGGGGTTAGAGGTGCTGGCCCCACACACAATTGAAAATCCACATATAACTTTTGACTCCCCACAAACTTAAGTACTAATAGCCTATTGTTGAACAGAAGCCTTACTGAAAACATAAACCACCAATTCACACATATTTTGTATATTATGTGTATTATATTCTCACAATAAAGGTAGAAAAAGAAAATGTTATTAAGAAAAATCATCAAGAAGAGAAGATATAGTTTATATTCATTAAGTGGGAGTAAGTCACCACACAGGGCTTCCTCCTCACTGTCTTCTGGTTAAGTCAGCTGAGGAGGAAAAGGAGGGGTGGGTCTTGCTATGGGGGTGGGGGGAGGAAGAGAAGGAAGAGGTGGAGGGAGTAGGTGAGGAAGGAGAGGCAGGCACACACAGTGTAACTTCTATTGAAAAATCTTACGTATAAATGGGCCCTAACTGTTCTAACCTGTGTCATTCAAGGTCAACTGTACATTCTTCCCATGCTAAGCACAAGTACAGTATTTCCATTATCTTTACATAGGCTTTTCATTAAATACACCTCAAGCAACTTCTGCATGTTTACACTGATCTTATTTATCAATTACTACATTTATCTGTATAATCATTGTTTAACTGTGTCAGTTCTACAGATGTATACGTATCAATCTGCATTAGTGATTCAGACATGAATTCCCAGAACTATCATCGTTAAGCAAATTACCAGATGTCGATGTTAATGCTGTAAGCACCAAGGAAAAGCAAGGAACACACATATGAGTTTATGTCAAAACAATTCCGTTCCCTATATTTTTGTGTAGTTTGATTCTCCCCTGCCAAATCTTTAGGATAGACTGCTGTTCTCTCCCACCCCAAATGGCACACTGTGCCTTCTTCCTCCTTGGTATCTGGTGCCAACGGGCTCCACAAACCACAGTAAGTGCTCAAAAAACATGGAGAGAAAAATAGAAGGTAGGGAGGATGGGTGTACTGGGCATGATGGTGGCTAACATTCTCTCTGGCTTCCACTGAAGGCTCTTTGGTCTGCTATCTGGATGAGACCTTCTGTGCATCTGGTCCTGCAGTCTCCACAGAGGTCTTGCACAGTCCCTCGTAAGTGCCTGGCACAGCTTCCTTGCTGTCCACCCTCTCCTCTGAATCTTGTACTTACTCTCCCTTCTCTCTATGCTCAATACTATGGACCACTCATTCAGCCATCCAAGTATTGGGCCATTCAAGTATTGATCAAGCTTTTACT